GAGAGAGAGAGAGAGAGAGAGAGAGAGATAAATTATGCGAATGAGATTTAAATATATTTAATATATTATTAATATATTATCAAAATCATAAAATTCCTATTAAAATTAATATATTAGATTTTCTTATAACAAAAGATTTTTTAATTATGATTTTAATAGCAAGATATTTTAGATTTTAAAAAATTCACTTCACAAATTATTATTATTATCATTACTTTATATTAATATAATTTTTATTATCATTAACAAAAGTTGTGAATTATATGAAAATGAAATAAAAGTAGTAACAGATATGCAAATTTTTCTCTTAACAAATTCTAATTGTGAAATAAGTGTAATAGTGAATTCATCATTATTTAAAAATAAAAAAAAAAAAATTTGTTTTAATCAGAAAAGTAACATATCATTTTTTTATAATAAAATAATTTATATATAGCATATTTCGTATAAAATAAGATTTTTTCAGATTTATTTAATTTTTTTTTTAAAGTTTAATTTAAATTATATTTTCTAAGTTTGTTTTCATTATATTAATGGTAAAAAATAAACGTTGAATTAAGAACAAATATCGCGATAAAATGATTTGTAAGGTTTAATATTACAGATTACGAAAACTATATTACCGACTCTAGATAAATCAATTATTATCAATTAAATATATTTGGATTTTGGAAAATTAATTTACACCAAGATTAATTTATTAATTTTTATAAAATTTATTACTAATTTATGACATTATAAGTCAATGATAATTATTAATTCTGATTACATATAATTTATTACATAATTAATGGTTACATACATATATATATATATAAATATTTATGCTATACTATAATATTGCAATATTAATTCCGATATTATAATTATAATTTTCAAAAAAATAGGAAACGCCGGATATTTTTCCTTCGCAGAAACAACAAAAAATTGCTAATAAAATTGTGAGATTATGAGATCTGATTGATAAATATTAAGAAAAATAAAAATTTTTAAGTTTAATATTTCAATTTCATCAATTTCTTTAGTGATGGCTAAAACATTCAATAACGTTAGATATGAAATTTAATTTCATCTTTCCTATTTCAATATTTAAAATATGAAACTATTAAATAGCTTTTATGATATTTCATACAATCATTTAAAAAATTCGTTAATATTAATACAAATAATTAAATTAATAATTTCCTAGTTTAATTAAGTTGGCCACTTTTTATATATAATGTGTATAATTAATAAGATAATAAATTTTTAAGACAAAGAATATTATAGAAAATAAAGGAAAATTTTGTAATGAACTATGTGCTGTCTGCATCACATGTCTTAAACATTATTAATTAATTCTAAAATTCTGAGATAAAAAAAGAGAAAATCTATTTTCTTCTATAAAAGATATGAATTTATTATTACTGATTTTCCAAACAATTGCTAATAAGTAAATTCTTTAATATATTTATGAATGTATGAATGTATGAATGTATTTCCTTTATTTTTTTTCATATTTTTCATCACTTTAGGAATATTAGTATATATATCAATGATGCATCATCATTATTATCTTCTCATATTTATATGAAATTTTTCCTATAAATATTTATATATATATAGGATTAAATGAAATTAAATCATCATAGATTCATTTCTAGGTTATGTGAACAGAGTTATCTTTAATTTAAGTAAATATATAATTTAAAATAAAAATAAAAATAATTTGAAATAATTTAAACTTTTATTTTCAATATACTATATTTGTTATTCATTTTACTCATTTCATTTTACTTCTATTTTGGATTTTTT